GAAAGAAGTTAGTTAACCCTCTATTCACATCTCATATCTTTCTTCAATAGTATGTTAGAGAGGTACTGAGGTGCCAAGTCATGTACAGACTTATAGGTGAGCATGAGGATTTTAGCGTCAACACAAAACCTGGTAGGCAGCCAGTGCGAGGGCTCCAGGATTGGCGTAATGAGATCACTTGCACTTGGTAAGGATCTGGTTAGGATTCTGGCTGCTGAACTCTTGCCTCATTGAAGTTTGTTCAGTGTGGAGTCAGATACCCCAGTGAGTAGGATGTTTCAGTAATCAATTCAAGAGGAAACAAATGTGTTGACCAGCTGTAAAGCTACAGTTAGAGACAGCATTGGACGTAAATATTTTTGATATGGAAGGATGATATTTTTACCATATTTTGCATATGTGGGTCAAACATCAAGAGTGGATTGAATATCAAGTTCTTCAATTTAGATTGAAATTCAAGTACAGTACCCACATACAGGGTAACTGCATTGGCATAGTTGATGGAGCATGCCGTGAAGCATGACTGCAGTCTTGTTGCAGTTCAAATGAAGGAATGCTTTTACCATCCAGGTTTTTATGTCAGAGACTCAATTAGAGAGTGCAGAGATAGACACTTTACTGTCAGATTTTCTATACTTACTATACTTAATAGCTGACCAAGTGGGAACATTGGATGCTGAAAAGTGAGCAGCTCAGTATTGAGTCCTGAGACACACCAGACTTAAAAAGCCCAACTTCAGAACTAAATCCAAAGTGGAGAGACAAAGTGTTAGCGATAACTAAGGTAAGAGTTGAATAATTTAAGAGCAGTGTCAGTAACTCTAAACATAGTCTCAAGATGAGAAAGTAAGATGTTATGTTTTACAGTGTTAAAAACAGCATTGAGATCTAGGAGAATAAAGATAGAGAAACCATAAATTGCTGAACAGTGTCAATGTAAATACTGAATACTATGGGACCCAGTATCGAGTCCCTGAGGAGCACAAGACTTATCGAGTCCAACTTCAGAACTGAAACCCAAAAGAGAGACAAAGTGTGGCCAATCAGTAAGGTCTGAACTTCTTTGCATGTCCACATGATCGATCCATTCATTCCGGGTGCTGACTTTTTGAGCCACTACGTGGGAGTGTAGGGAGAACCTAGAAAAATCATGGACCGACACGACATTTGGACAGGAAAGAGGCAGTATCACATTGAGACAGAACAAAAGGTCTGAGGACGAGTTTGATCAGCCCCCAGCAACCTTTGTGATTGGGACAGGCAGGGGTTTTTGCCGCAAGTGTCATGCGTTTGGGACTCAGGAAGCGGAATGTCTGGCGACAGTGTTTAAAATGCCACGACTGGGGACACAACACACGGAGCTGCCCCGTCAAGGAGTGCTCCTTGTGTGGCACAACAGGGCATCTATATCGGCCTGTAACTGGAGGAACGCTGACTTCAACAAAGCGTTCACAGTCTGCACAAGACTGGCGGAGGAGGACAGTGAGACGGAAGCACCAGCTGAAGATAAGGAGACCCCCTCAGCAGAAGGGACGGCCGGAGATGGGCAAAATGCAGAGGAGCCACAGGTAGGGGAGGAAGGCCACGAGGACGGCGATGCGGTAAGGGCAGAAACCATAAGATAAGTTGACGGGCGGGAAAAAACTTTTGAATGGACTGCGTTGAAGATGGACTGGCTGAAGCGGGGCAAGGGCCGTCTACAGGCCCCAAGGCGATGGAGATGGAGGAGGACAAGGACTTCACACCTGTGATACAGAAGAAACACCACAAGGGGCAACAGGCAGGCAATGGGAAGAAGGTCCTAGCAGATGGGAAGAAGAAGAAGACGGGGAAAAGCCACCAGGACGGGGCATCAGACGCCAAGACAATGGAAGAGGACACCGGCTCAGACATGAGTGTCCAGGAGGTAGGAGAGCCCGAGGGTACACTGCCCCCAGGACAGGGGGAGAGAACAACAGAGCCGTGTGGCCAGTTTTCAATACTGCATAACCTGTCAGAGGAGGACAGCCTGTACGCCTCATGCCAGGTGAACATGCCTGAACAGGAGGAAAGGAGAGAGCAGAGCCCAACAGGGATGGATGAGAGTCAAGAGTTCTTCAGGAAAGAAAGCCCCTCGAGCCTCATAGGGGAGATGAGTTTGTCTGATCCGAGTCAAAGCGAGGACATGGGAAGTGACAGCCTCCCGGACCCGCCATGACCTTCTCTGTTGCTACTGCAAATGTGAGAGTTTTGAGGAGCCGGGAGAAGAGATTGGCGGTGTTTAAGGACTTGGTGAAAGGGCAGTTTGACATGTGCTTCCTGCAAGGAGTTAATTTAAAAGACATGGAAACTTTCAGAAAGGAATGGACTAAAGGACACTCGTGGGAGGGGTGAATTCTTCGGGCGTGGGCAAACTGTGCGAGATTTTGTCGTCCACGTGACCAACGCTGTGGTTCCAGGGTGCCTACTGGTGATAGATGGGGTGTGGAGAGGTGTCAGACAGAGTTATCAACTTCTACGCACCTGCAGGGCTCCTTTTTGCAAGACTTGGAGCCCCTGTTGTACACGAATAGAGAGTTGATCATCTACAGCGATTTTAATATTGATCTAGGGGACAAGCAGGACGAAGGGGTGCACACGCTTAAAGCCTTGATTACCAATTTCAAGCTGGCCGACAGGTTCTTTAATATCAAACACCACACTTGGGAGGGACTTTTCAGGTGGTTAGATTACATCACGACAAAGGCGAAAGTGGGGAGAAAGACAGTGAGGGTGGCGACGTGGCTAGGGCAGAAACTACACTGGGATCAGGAAAGAAGTGGACTGCGTTGGGGATGGACTGTCCGGGGCCTATCTACAAACCCCAGGTCAATTGAGGTGATGGAGGATTTTGCGCTAATGACGTCCTGGTCCTGGCAAGAAGGTCCTGGCAGACTAAAAGAAGAAAACAGGGAAAAGCCACCAGGGAGGGGCATCAGACGCCGATGCAATGGAGGACACCAGAGTTTGACCAAAAGTAATATCAGAAACTCCAAAGACAGTCTCAAGATAAGAAAGTCAGAGGTGATAGTTAACCATGTCAGAAGCAGCACTGAATAAGGAATAAGGTTAGATAGAGATCCGGAATCAGAAGCAAGACTGTTAGATCGAAAAGATTATTTGCAATTAAATGGTTATTTAGTTAAACAGCACATTCTAAAACAGTAACACAAAAAAGCTGGGTTGGATAAGGGACAAAAATCATCTTAGTCAATAAAGAGTAACAGTATCTGTTTTAAAGCCCATTGATACCACTCCAGTACTCAAGGACTCCTTTATTATGCTGAGGACAACAGGGCAGAGGGAAGAAACAGGACTGAAATAAAACAGTAGATATAGGAACTAATAAACATACATGATACCAGTTTACTGAGGCAAACATTGTCAAGGTGAGAGAAACTAGAAAGAAGGGAATCGGCAAAACTAGGGATGCAAGGAGAAGGTGTATAGTAGCATGCATTGTGGAGAGAATGTGATGCCAGATGTTGTCCTGGAAGAAAAACTCTAAGAAAGTGTTGCAAAGTTTAGATGAGGCCGGTAAAGTAGTAGGGCGATTTGGGTTAAGCAGTCTGTTGATTATGGAGAACAGGTACCTAGGATAGTTTAGGTTGTTCTTAATGATATGAGAGAAACAGCTAAATCTGGCAGACTCTATTGCAATATTGTACTCACTCACGTACTTCTTCCAAGACTGAAAATGAAATGAACATTCAAGCCAGAAAGATGACAGCTACAACTGGTGTACCAAGGTTCAGAGAGGTAAAAGGAGATGGTATGAATTTTAAGAGGAGCTAAGGTGTCAAGGAAAACATAACAGAGAGCTATTAAACAGTAGAATTTTGTCTTCTAGAATCTCAGAGTTAGAAAGTAAGACAGGACAGAACAAACCCAAAATCATGAAACCCAGTCTGGACTACAGATCACCATTTGCGAAGTGTGAAGGTGAAGAGTATGAGACAGGAAATTCTGAATCCAACAGAACAGCCCAGGCAGGTATGAATCAAAGAGTCATTTGCAAGTCCAAGATGTTATCTTGCAAGTTGGACAGAGAGCAAGCTGTGTGAGGCTAAAGCATTCCAAAAAAAGCTTAAAAAACCTTAGCTAAATCCAACAATGCTTGAAAATCCATAGCTAAATTAGAATATTATTAACCAACATACTATAGATATGAAAAAGAATTAGGATTTTATTCATCTGAAGAATAAAAAAGAAATTTAATAGGCAAACTCACCTAAAAAGCAATGTTATGCTTGGTGGGTCTTTAAACTGGTGCAATTTTAGTAGAACAGGGAATAGAGATTGGACAGGGACAGACAGGACTCACATACAGTAGAAAAAGAGACCATAAATAATTATGTCACACCAAGATCATAAAAATAGATCATAAATAATAATAAATAATAATAAATATTTCTAGGAAGAAATCAGTGTCTGGGGCTGCAGTGAATGTATTTCATTGGTCACAAGATCCTGATATCCCTGCAAGAGCCGAAGGTAGATTTTTCAAGATAATAGTTCAATTTAGGATGACACGACAGAAACCAATAAAAAAAAACATCAAGGATTAGGGGATAGCAGGTTGTTTTGAATAGCACCTGGATTCAGCAGACAGCAAGTAGGCAGTCAGTAGTAGGATCACAATCATGGTGGTAGTTTGATAGCAGGGCAAAAACAGTAATTAAAACAGCTACATCTAGCAGTGAAAGTAAAGATGGAGTGGTAAGAAAACAAGGAAGAAAATAATGAATAAAGTAAATGACAACAAGAAAGACTAGTGAGAGGAGTGGCAGCCAATTTTACCACCAGTACCCCCCAACAAGAACGAGATACTAAGTTTAATACGTTTTCTTAGTCTTATTTTCTAAAATGGCCAATTATCTTTTGATTATCACACTCTCTGTTGACATTATTGGTTCATAGTTATATTAAGATGTACAGCATGTTGTTTCAAGAATCACTAACATTAGAACTTTATGTTTCAGAAAATAACAGAATCACTGATGATCTCAGCCAAAAATGGAGAGCCGTTGCCTGCCATGAAAGTGTTCTCTGAGAGCCTACGATATCTGAAGGATCATGCTCTGGGAACCATCAAGGAGTCCACCTGTGGGAGGCAGTTCATTGCCTCTGATGTGACTTGGGTGTTGACAGTGCCTGCCATCTGGGACTCTAAAGCCAAACAGTTCATGAGACTAGCAGCCACTCGGGTAGGTTTGAGGAAGAGGTGCATGTTAAAAGCTGTTTTAATAATCTGTTGTTTACACTACGGCCAAGATTTAAAGTCTGGAGCATGGTAGCATTTTTTAATCAAATGACAAATGCTAACTTGTTCTCATGAATAGATAGGTTAATTTGCATCTCTGAGTTGTTTCTGTGCGTGTGCCCTGCAGTGGACTGGTTTTTAATGTCTAGCCTGTCTAGCGGAGTCACCTTGGGCACCAGGATGGGATCCAGCTTTGCCAATATTTTTGTGAGCTGGGTAGAAGAATGTGTCTTTGCTTCCTACATTGGCTTTGTCACAGACCTCTATGGGTGATATATTGATGACTGCGTCGGTACCACCACATACTCTAATGACCAGCTAGAGCACTTCCTGCATCACCAACTTCCACCCATTCCACAAATATACAGTTAACATATCTTCCACTAAGATTCCGCTTCTAGACATAAACCAATCCATTAATCATTCATGACTTTCTATTTCTATTACAAACCCACAGATTCACACAGTTATCTCCTATACTCCTCATTTTACCCCACACATACTTTTTCAAAATTCCTCAGGCTCCAACGTCTTTGCAGTGATGACACTGACTTCCAAAATCAAGCCCTCAAAATGCATTCTTTTTTCATCAAAAGAGGATTTGCCACCTATTTTCTTGACAGGGCACCCCCGAGCCAGAAACAGCCCTGGGATCATCAACTCAATTAGGATCGCCCAGCCTCACAACCACATTCCTTTAGCGCTTCCTTACCACCCTAACACACTGTCTATCCACATAGCCATTAACAACACTGGTACCTGATGATCATCTCATATCACCAACCACCTAATCTGTGTAAACCTTCTTGTTCACAGCTCCCTTGACCGCCATCAGTAATCATCCACACCAGGCTCTGTCCCTGACAACAGGAAGTGCTACATCACATGCAAATATGTATTCCATACCACACTCATTCAAGGCCTCTTTGGAGAACTCTGGATTACTCAGATGACATCTTGTACCTCCAGGAACCTTATTTACTGCATCTCTTGCAGAAAATGCTCTCTGCACTGGGGAAACATGAAGGAAGCTGGGAGACTGCTTTAGAGAACATATCAGGGAATTTCTACAAGCCCATTGTTTCTCATTTCACCTCTAACAGTCAAAATCACACTGATCTCTCTGTCAGCATTCTCAAAGAAGGGTTACTCAACTCCTGTTGCAGAAAGACATCTGAAACCAGAATTATCCTGAAACAAGGTTCACACCTTCCCCCTTCTCTCAAAGACAGACTCATTTCCTACTAATCCTCTCGGTAATTTGCAGGTTTTGACTTTATACTTCTATTCACGTCCCTCGACTTCACACCACCTGAGTGTCGGCTCACCTGCTCCAGCCTCAACTCCACTCCTGGCTTTTGTTCTCCCATGCTATATCAGCTGCTGACTTTCCTCTCTTTCTCACACCCGAAGAAGGCTCCACAGCAGAAATGTTGTGTTTCTTTTCTTCTCTTTTCAGCATGGAATAAACCTTTACTTGTTCCTTTGCAGCCCACGCATGCTGACACAGCTACCTACTTCAACTATATTTGGAATGACTGTGTTTTATATCTAAAGGCTTAGGAGTTTAGGTCAGTCTACACAGGGACACTAGAGGCAGCAAGGTTGAGTTAATTTGCTTTATTACAGTGAAGAGATCACTCTCCCAGTGTATTCCTTAAGAAGAGTGTTCTCAGTGAAACAAAGAAGTACAGATGGAGCCATTAACATATAACAGTCATCTTTACTTCACTGCACTGCGGTGGCAGTGTGATTCACTGGCCAAAGATGATCGATAGGTGGTACTTGTGGTGTGTAAGATGTTAATGAAAACATTAGTTTCCTACAAAAAAAATGTAGTACGTTTTAAAATCCACTTAATATGGAATATTAATTTGGGTCATGTGACTAAAGGGAAATTTTGGTAGCTGAAAATAGTAAGTTTGTCACTGTCTTCATTAATATCTGCATGTAATTCTTCAACTTGGGCACTTGTGATTATTTTGGAAAGTATTGGAAATGTTTTGACTTGCTAACTTTGACTACATTTTCTGTCATGATTATTGCAATGGAAAGTGAAAAGTTGAGCGATTTGGTTCAGTTTTAAAATTGTTGCCTGTGAGCTAGAAGGTCCCGTGTTCACTTCCTGGCTAATGTGCCAGTTGTACATTTAAGAAATAAAGACTCTTTCTGTAATATTTAAATCAAATAAATAAGGTGTTTATAGTACATTTTTTTAAATAAATTAATGTTGACATCTTTATTAATTACATATATATTACAATATATATGACTACTGCAATGCTCTACTCGGTAGGGTATCTAAATCTACATTGAAGAAACTGCAGTATGTCCAAATTCGGCAGCCTTAATCCTGACCAGGTCTAGTGCAAGTGATCACATGACTCCTATCCTGGAGTCCTTGCACTGGCTTCCTATTAAATTCCATGTGGACTTTAAAATCCTCATGCTCACTAATAAGGCTCTCCATGGCTTGGCACCTCAGTACCTGTCTGAACTATTATCGCCCTACTCCCCACCTCGCAACCTTCGCTTTTCTAATTCTGGTCTCCTAACTGTCCCCAAGGTGGTCTACACTCTATGAGTGACAAGGCCTTCTCCTGTTATGCCTCCAAGCTCTGGAACTCTCTCCCCACGGATATCAGAGAGTCACCTTCTCTGGACTTCTTCAAATCCAGAATCAAAACCTTCTTCTTTAGAAGAGCCTTTTCTGAACTGGGTCCATTCTTTACCCTACTTAGTACCACCATCCTTGGCCTCCTCTATATATTGTAATTGTGTTTTATCTTGTGTATTCTTTTTATTTATTGTTGTTGTCATTCTGTAAAGTGCTTTGAGAAGCCACCTTTAGGCGCTATATAAAATAAAGTTTATTATATTATTAGATAGATACTTTATTGATCTTGTGAGGGAAATTGTAGTGCAACAGCAACTTAACACAAACAACACAGCACAGTGTAACGAATGATACAATAATAATAATACAATACATACAAAACAATCAGTACAGTGAGAAGTGCATTAAGAATAGTTACTCACAGTCCAGAACACACAAAGAACAAACCAGAACAGAACAGTACACAAAAAGTTGCACATAAATAGAAATATAAATGTATTGCACAAGTCCCTGGCATATATTGCACAAAAACAGTTGTAAACAGGAAAAAGAAAAAGAACAGATGTAGCAGTTTACTGTTCAGTCCAGAAACAGGTCACTGTCAATGTTGCCTCTGTCCAGATGCAAGGTGGATGCGTTGTATACTCTTATGGCAGAATGCAAGAATGACCTCCTGTAGCACTCCCTGTCGCACTGTGGAGGGATCAGCCTATTGTTTAACGTACTCTTAATTTCTACAAGCATGTCATAGAGTGGATGGGAGACATTGTCCATGATGGCCTCTAGTTTGTACACAATTCTCCTCTCAGCCACTATCTCCAGGGGGTCCAGGCCAGACCCAATGACAAAGCTGGCTCTTCTGATGAGCTTGTTCAGCCTGTTAGAATCCACTGCTCTAATCCCAGAGCCCCAGCACACCACCATGTAGAAAATGGTGCTTGTCACAAATGATTGATAGAACATATGTAGCGTCTTACTACATACATTGAAGGACCTGAGCCTCCTCAAGAGGTAAAGTCGGCTCTGACCCTTCTTGTAGATAGCCTCGATGTTCTTAGACCATTCTTGTCTATCGTCGATAAGCACTCCCAGGTATTTGTATGAGTCCACTATCTCCACGCCACTCCCATGGATGTAGACAGGAGTAGGTTTGACCTTTTTCCTCCTGAAATCTACCACCAGTTCTTTTGTCTTTGTTACATTCAGTTCCAAGTGGTTCTCTCCACACCACTCCACAAAGCTGCTGACCAGTCCTCTGTACTCTTCCTCCTGCCCACCCTTGATACATCCCACAATTGCAGAGTCATCTGAGAACTTCTGCAGGTGGCACAACTTTGAGTTGTATTTAAAGTCAAAAGTATAGAGGAGAAAGAACTGTCCCTTGAGGAGCCCATGTGTTACTTACTACCTGTTCAGACACACAGTTCTGAAGTCTCACAGACTGTAGTCTGCCTGTCAGGTAGTCAGTGATCCATGAGATCGTGGAGGCACCGACTTGCATCTCTATCTTTAGAAGTAAGAGCTTGATAGTATTGATGGCACTGGAGAAGTCGAAAAACATAATCCTTACAGTGTTGCCAGCCTTGTCCAGGTGGGAGTAGGCCCTCTGTAGCATGTAGATGATTGCATCCTGCACACCAACACTGAGCTGGTAGGCGAACTGTAGGGTGTCCAGTGATGAACTGACCAGGTGTCTCAGATGGGACAAGACCAGCCTCTCCAGTGTCTTCATGATGTGAGGAGTCAGTGCAACTGGTCTGTAGTCATTAAGGACAGAGGGGCACCATTTCTTTGGTACTGGGACCAGGCATGATGTCTTCCAGAGCACAGGGACTCTCTCTAAGCACAGGCTCAGGTTGAACAGTCGCTGGAGCACTCCGCTCAGCTAATCAGCACAAGCCGTCAAAACTCTGGGACAGACGTTATCTTGTCCTGTAGCCTTACCCTGGTGCAGCCTCTTCAGCTCTCTCTTCACCTGGTCAGCTGTGACGGTCAGCCTGGCCTGGGGGATGGTGCTCATAGGACTTTCAGTGGTGCAGGTGTTAATGGCGGAGGTGTTGGAGAGTGGCAGCTGTGGGGGATGGGGAGGGTAAGTAGCTGTTCAGGGTTGTAACTGTAGGCGGCCATGGTTGTGGGGGGAGGTGTCTGGCAGTCGCAGCTGTGAAGGCTTAGGGAGCGTGTGGCTGTGGGATGGGTGTTGAGCCACAG